AGCTTCTGCCTAAGAGCTCATCTCAGTCTCCCCTCTGGCAGGTTAAAGCCATTCCCTCTTGTCTCTACACATCCTTGTAAGAAGTCTCTCTCCAGCTTTCTTGTCAGGCCCTGTAGGCACTGGAAGGATGTGTGGTTCCTGAAAAGAGTACCAACAGTGTTTTTAAACTAGCTGCTAGAAAGATAATGAGAGATAAGCATAAAGATACTAAAGAATACTAAAGAATCTGTGCTTGTTATCTAGAAAACATTCTTATCTCCCTCTGTAATCACTGTGTTGCAATTCTGGATAATGAATTTCTCCTTCATGTTGAATGAAGTGTCAGAGGTTTGGTAACCAGAGTTTTCCTCTCCTCCTTTTGATCTCTGCCAGGGGTGTGTGTGGGGAAGGGCTGAAAGTAAAACTCAGCTTTTGCCTCCTCCCTCAGGCAAGGTGCTGATTCCACTCAAGATGAAATAGCAACCTCTGCATTCCTCACAGTGCAGCTGGATGAGGAGCTGGGAGGCAGCCCTGTGCAGGTAAAAAAAACGTGCAACCCCCCCCAAAATCCACACTATGGCAGTAAATAAGGCATATGTATAGTTGCATGGTATCAGTGTGCAGCAGAGAAACCCAGCCATGATGTAGGAGTTACGAAGAGGCAACTTGCATGCCAGCTACTACACAAGGAAGCTTTACAAGTGGCCTGTATGAGACAGGAGGGTTTTATAGTTGTTATTTGTTACCTCTGTGCCAGTGGATCACTGGCCAGTTAAAATGAAACAGCAACTGTGAGAGCTGGGTTTAACCACTGCTCTGTTTCTGGGCAGGACGTAATAGCTCAGCTCCTGTGACCAGCTAGGTGCCATATTCCAGCTGGGAAGATGGTTGGGCCATTTTTAGTACATCTTGTGAAGCTTAAAACTGACAGCAGTGTCTTTTTCTCTAGAAACGAGTGGTGCAAGGAAAAGAGCCACCTCATCTGATGAGTATGTTTGGTGGAAAACCCTTGATTGTGTACAAGGGTGGAACCTCAAGGGCAGGAGGCCAGACAGCACCTGCGGAAACACGGCTCTTCCAGGTCCGATCCAGCACCTCGGGAGCTACCAGAGCAGTAGAGGTACGTGGAGTCACCTTTGGTGTGGTTCATGTAGGCTGTGATGGGACTGTGATCCCTTTGAACGGAACAAGGGGCAAACTGAGCTTTCTGGGGTAAACTGAAACACACTTTACAAGCTATTGAGTCCTCTTTTCCCATGGATATTAACCATGTTTTTCTAATCAGTTTATCAATGTCACCTTAAATACATTTAAGCCATTTCCTCCTAATTGTCTGCTAGATGCTGCACTCTCTGACACTTCTCAAACACTTGGGAACCATTAGGATCTGGCTGTTGTGATTTGTTCTAATCCCCTGTGACAACAATGCCGAAGAGAGAATGTGCTAAATATCCTCCGTGCCAACAGAGCTTGTGCCAGCACTGGCTGAGAGCACCACTCCTTTGATACAACAACAAAAGAGAGTCTAAATCCTTGCTGGTAGCTATAGGAGAGACAAAAGCTCTGGTTTATGTCTGCAGCAACTTGCTAGGTTTCTAGTTCAAGAGGACACATCCTTTTTGAAATGCCATTAATGACTGAGCTGCCTCAGCAGTGGGGTACCTACAGTGATCCCCCCAGTAAGTTCCTGAATCTCCTGCCATAGCCATGAAGACTGGCAAAATGACAGATCCAAACGTTCTTGGCATTGGCCAGCGGTATCTGTAGAATAGAAATACACATTTATTTACTCTTCTCATATGAGTAAGTCTAACTTATCACTTAGATACAGGCAAATATACAGTGTATCTTAAAGCCTTACATGCTGGTATGGAATAGTCCGTTTGCAGTTTATTCAACAGTAGGTCCTGATTTTCATCTTGAAATAAGAGGCTCTTCATAGAGGACAATTACATCCAACACGTGCAATGTTCTTTCTTTCCAGCTGGATCCTGCTGCCAGTCAGCTGAATTCCAACGATGCCTTTGTCCTGAAAACTCCTTCTGCTGCTTACCTCTGGGTTGGCCAAGGAGCCAGTGATGCTGAGAAATCAGGAGCACAGGAGCTACTGAAGACACTGGGAGCTCGCCCAGTACAGGTTGCTGAGGGCAGAGAGCCAGGTGAAGGAGGCACAAGAGAGGTCACGGCAGTTTCTGTGTGGTTGCTTGTTCACAAGAATTATGTCATGGATATTTTCCTTTGCCTCCCAGAACAAGGAGAGGTGGACACAGGCACAGAGGGGCTTCTCCAAAGTATCTCCATTTTGTTTAGCAGCATACTCATGCTTGTAGGGCTTTGGGACTTTCTGATATAGAAGAGTGCTTCAAGTCCTACCCAGACCACACTGCTCTGTGGTTCCCAAGAGCAGCTGGAGCAGCAGTATGTCTTTTCTCTTTTCCAGCTAATTTCTGGGCAGCTTTGGGTGGAAAAGCTCCTTACCGTACCTCTCCCCGGCTGAAGGACAAGAAGATGGATGCTCATCCCCCTCGTCTTTTTGCATGCTCCAACAAGAGTGGACGCTTCACTGTGAGTATCTAAGAAGACAGCCAGTTAATTCAACATCCGTCTGACAAAGCTGGGAGAATCTGTCCCAGGCTGCTTTAAGCCAACCAACAGGCCCTTATACCTTGTCTTCCATTGCGGTGTTGCCTCCAGAAGGAAAGTATCAGCACCATTTTGCTGCAGAGACAGCAGCTAGTTGTGTTGTGCTGTTGTGCCAGCACAGCAACTCCCTGCAGCATCAGGCTGGTTAAGAACTCACATTCAGACCCCTCAAATTTTAACTCGTGAATCTTTCAAGCAAAAAGAGGCAGAGTCACAAGTCTGCACGTGAGTGACGTGGTCCCTCTAGGAGGACAGAGACTGATTTTGTGTTCTGTGGTGCAAAAGCACTTCTGTGACATAGTCTGACTGGCATGGTCACGTAGAGTGTCCAGCTTAATGCATCTCACCAGTAAGGGGTGACTGGAAAGGTCAAATGGAACTTGAAGTAATGTGCCTCTCATATAATGTGCCTCTCATACTCTTCTATCTTCCAGATAGAAGAAGTTCCTGGAGATCTGGTTCAGGATGACCTTGCTACAGATGATGTTATGCTCCTTGACACATGGGACCAGGTATGTCACACTGACCTCAAGACGAGAGGAGCAAACACTATGCAGAGGTAATTTGGGTCTCAGCTTAGAGCTGACAACAGCTGGAGGAGCTTTGTAGTACAGAGTCCTTTCATCTTCAGGCCTGAGAACAGATCATCTCACTAGTGACATGGAAGAGAGTTTACCCCTTGAATGTGAGGAAATAGTGGGTGTCCTGCCATGTCTTTGGTTAGCTTAAGGACTGAAGAAAACAGGCTCTTGTGTGTCACATGTGCTCCCCTACAGTGTGAACCTCTCAAGGGCAGCATCCTTGGCTCAGCTGGAGAGGACAACGTGAATCCCAACGTGAACCATCACTGGGATTCAGCACTTTAAGATACAGATGCATTTTCTGTTATTTTTCAATAACAGACTGTGCATAAATCAGCCAAAAGGCAACTTAATTTTTTATGTTTTATGTAAAAATGTTCAAACATTTGCTACCTTTTCCTGATGTTAAGCTAGTGTATGATTTGTTTGTGTATCTAGAATTGATGTGGATAAAACACAGTGAAGAAACTGCTCATTATCTGCCACTAGCTTTAGTCACGTAGGTCAACAATCCAGGCACACCAGCATGAGGATGTTCTTGTTCTGTGTCGTACTCTGTTCACTGAGACTTTATCTAAATTATCCTTTCTTTCACAGAGAGATTGATTGTTGCTAAATAATTCATGGGTCTTTTTAATCTTTAGGTCTTTGTATGGATTGGGAAAGATGCCCAAGAAGAAGAGAAAACTGAGGCGTTGCAATCTGGTAATGTCACATTATCCTCTCTGAATTGTTTCTTATTTCCCTGCTGTCTGATCATAAAGCAGGCAATTTAATCTACTGAGAAACATATCTTAATCACAGCATGAAGTTCAATGCTCTATCAAAGAGATCACATCTCTCAAGCAAGGAGGGTCCTTAAGATCAGCACAAAGAGATGTCGTACTCAGACATGCTGTGCTCAACCCCAGCATTGAGAAAGGATTCTTGTGTGGGCAGGCGGGTTCAGGCTGCCCCTGTAATGGTGACTTACTATCCCAGTGTTCATTTTGTACAACCAGGTGCCAGTCCAATGGGTGTAGCTAAAACCAGAGTGAAAACTTTGTAATTTGTTTTTTTTTTTGTTTAAATGAACAATGTGAAATTGTATCCCTGGCATCTGTTTAGCCACAGTTCAGCTATTTGAGCTGTTACTCCATGACATTTCCTGCTACTTGTGTGCTTCCAGCCAAGCGGTACATTGAAACCGACCCAGCCAGCCGGGACAAGAGAACCCCGGTCACCGTGGTGAAGCAAGGGTTTGAGCCACCAACCTTCTCCGGCTGGTTCCTGGGCTGGGATGATGACTACTGGGCTGTGGATCCTCTCCAGAGAGCAATGGCAGACGTGGATGTCTAAAGTAACAGGTTTCTTTTTCTTAAATGGAGTAAGTTTGGTGCCTTCAAGAGCCCTGTCCTCCTGCAGGCTGCATGTGAACAGGAAATGCTGTTAATAGCTGATTAGCTGTGCAATAATTACCAGAACCAGTCATGACCAGTCACTGACCCTCCTCCTTGCTTTGATGATATTTAATACAATAAAGCTTGTGTGGAATATGTGAAGAATGGAAAGGGTGAGGTTTGTTACGGAGAAGAAAACATTAAACAGAACCTGCAGATCTCCCATTTGAACTTGTTTAAGCAAATACACCTTAGAGAAGTAAATGTTCTTTGTGCCATCTTTTGCACAGGCACTCCTTACTAAATGGTCACAGATAGGATTTTGGGGATTGTTTTGCTTTACCCTCACCAGAATCATGAGCAGTTAACACTCTGAAAGAGCAGCATACCATTAACGTATCAAGAAGTCACTCATCAGTAAACAGCACGGGTTTTTATTCAGGATGGGAGCAAAAAGTGTGCTCCTGTTGTCAACAATTCACAGGGGTGGCCAGTGACAGCAGCACCAGCAGGAGTTACGGCATCACTGCCCTTCCCCAGGGATTAGCCTCCAGCTGTGCAGTTACTTGTTCCCCACTGCAAGCACGTGTGAGCCCGGTAACATTCATCATTACAGCTTTGTTAATTGTCTTTCTCCCCCCATCCCAGCAAGGAGTGGAGCTCAGCTTACGCTAACTGAAGCACTGACACACATGCAGACTGGTACAGTGTTTGTGCGGTGCAGAGGAAGGGAAAAACCTTTGCAGAACAGCAACAGCACCAAGTAGCTCCAGCCCCTTTCCTAACAGTGACAAAGGCACAGAGTGTCAAGGCACAGGTAAACGCACCTTAAATACCCGTAAATACAGAATAGACTGCAGCAGAAAGGGGATAAAAAACCAAGTTAGGAGCTCTGTGGTGACCAGTGTGAGAAGGGCACTAGTTATCACTGAGGTTGACTTTTTGTTTTCACTGTCACATCCCAGTAATCAAAGACCAGATGCCAAACTCAGTGATGGTGGCAGCCCAGAGCCCCCTCCTCCCTCTTGCAGCTCTAGTTCTTCTCATTTTAATCTGTAATTACATCTACTAACAAGGCACACAACATGAATACAGTTTAGCAGACTTACTGCTCAAGACTATGTGAACTGAAGATTACATGCTTTTGGCTTGAAGTACAAGCCCTTGGTGTTACAACAGATACTACAGGTCTGCTCAGAAGCAGCGTCAACAGGGAAATCGCTAATTTGTTAGACAGATATATCAACAGTACAACATCTTTAGTTAAACATCACCACAGCCCACTAATCAGAGAGATCCCACCTCCTACAGAACTGAGGTTTCAGACCCAGGTACAAGCAGGAATCAGTACTTTGGCCTTTAAAAAACATCTTTAAGACAGACCCAATGACTTTTTCAGCACAAATCAACATAGGCACATCACTGTAACAACAGAGCAGCCCTCAGGGACTGCAAGTATGTTGTATCCGTAACTACAGCATAGTTATTCCATTTCAGAGATGGAAAGTTCTCGGGAATGGGGAACTATTTTAGAGAGCATGGGCCTGATTTTCAGAAGTACCCAGTACTTTCCTATGCCAACTTTCATTACTTCTCCTGTGTTAAGGACCAATTCACACCACAGCAATCCGGTAACTTCCTGCATGCAGCTACACTCCAAGAGAAGTTAGGGCTGTTCCACTTCCCCTGCAGGGCTACAGACAAGTTCAGTTAAGAGGAATAGTCCTCCCTCTAGATGCTGGATTGTCACCACAAATGGATTCATATACTGTTCAGAAGTGGGAGATTGCAGGTTAAGAGAGTATATGGATACCTGCTTATTTAAGATCACAATTTGCTTGTATTTGCTTTGAGACATTTTCAGATAGTCTGAGTGTCCAGTCACAAACATTACATGTAAGTTTTATAACATACTTCATACAACAAAACAGGTTCCTCAGTAAATCCACTGTAACACCACCATAAGCTATGATACACATGGAATTCAGCACTGCAAACATTTGCTATAGCAAAAAGCCCACCCTACCTAGCGATTGGCACCTATGAGGCCCTGCAGCATGTTTATGGGCAATGGGAAGACGATGGTGGAGTTCTTTTCTGCAGCAATGGTGGTCAAGGTCTGCAAGTAACGAAGCTGAAGAGCAGCCGGGGACTCTGTGATAACCATGGACGCCTCTTTCAGGGCCCTGGAAGCATTCATTTCCCCCTCAGCTGCAATGACCTGGGGAAGCAAGATGAACCACAGTGAATTCCTCCTGGCACAGTAACAACCTGGAGATATGTAAGATGGCCAGCCTTATGTCATATTCCAAAGACACTGCTCATTGCTTGATCAAGTGACCTCTCCTTCCCATGTTCCTTCACTGGCTCTGCCTTTCTCCTGCTCAGACAGAAGCCATTCCTGCTTTGCTTTCAAGGCCATGGATTGTCTGTTTCCCCCATTCAGGACTGAGACGCCAGATCACAAAAGCCAGCACCATATCTTGAAAATGCAATGGGTGCGTTTGTTCTATTTTCAAAAGCTTCTTTTGTGCTTCTTTCAGCACTGCCTCTCAAAAGCAGAAGGCTCCCCACATGTATCTCTAAGCTTTCATTTAAAGCTGTATTTTTTTGGTCTCTATAAGGACTTGACAAGCAAATGTTGCCCATGTTTCTTACTGGGGAAATACCTTTTTTTCCTCCTTTAATTTATGAGCTCATTAGGGACAACTTTGCGGTCAGGCATTTGCTGACAAGCCCTTCTGCACCAGGACAGTATAAATACTTCCTGAGTGTCTGTAAAGGAGGGCTGGATGCTGCCGTTTCAACAGAGAAGTTGTTGGTGAAGCAATTTAATGCACATCAGCACAGGGAAGTGCAGATTCCCCTCCAGAGTTCTGCTGCAAGGGCACAGTATTTTTTTAAACATCAGAATAAATAGTAATTAAAAAAATAATCACAAAGTAATTAAGCTTCAAAAGAATACATAGAAGTTAATACTTGGAGCACTAATGCAGGCTTAAAGAGCTTTTCTGAGGTGCACCATCAGCTTCACATTGAGTAATTGCCAACCCTGAAGTCTAATGAAATTCAGTTTAATATTTATTTCCCATGAAAATAAAATCCAGATTTTATAATTAGAACCTAAAAATAGATTAAAGTTAATGAAACTCCTCATTAATGGCAGATATGGAAATCAGTCATCTATATGTACATAAAAAAATCATTCGTGCGTGAGATGATGAACTTCGTAGGATCAGATGTGGTTTTCATGGCTTTAAATGAGCTTTAGGAAACCTCCCTTCGCTAAGCTTCAGTACTTAGAATGTAAGGATACAGGCAGCTCAACAGACCACTAGTACCTATCAAATACCCCCTTCCATCAGCTTGCTCTACAAACAAAGGTGGAGGGTTTGGACAACTAGGGAACGAGATGCCGTGACCAAACTGACCACTGGTCAGCTTCACGGTGACAAAACCACTACAGCTGTTTTATTTCTCATATGAAGTAGCAAACAGACAACAAAGGCCTGCCCTAAAATCAGGGCTACTCAGGAGGAAGCTGGAAGTAAATCTGGCTTCTAATTCACTGCAGGATCAGCTAATAACCTCCAAATTGTTCTGTCTGGGATTTGTTCTTGGAGTGTGGTAAAGAGCTGAGATTCTGTGGTTTTGAAGGACACTGCACCTGCACAAACCACAATGAAAGCCACACATAAATCCACAAATCCCTGCCCTGCGCTCCTGTTTGCTACTACACAGTCTGGCTGAGAATCTTCATCCTCTACATGCCCATGTTGAATTATTCATGGAGAAGGAAAAATAACGCAAATGCAGATGTTGATGTTTTTACCTTGGCTCTGGCCTCACGGGCAGCTTCAGCTTCTGCAGCCATTGCTCTCTGCAGCTGGATAGGTAATTTCACATCCTTGATCTCCACACGTTCCACCTTAATGCCCCAGTCATCTGTTGCCTCATCAAGTGTGGCCTGTATAAGGCAGGACAATGAAGCTAAGCACTGACCTGCCTGCAGACTAATGTCCAAAGAGTGTCCAATAAACCAAATTCATTAATTATCTTATGATTCTTGGACTTTATGGGCTTTAGTATAAGTACAATGATTTGCTAATTATAAAAACATAACTGTTGTCAACTAACAAAAAAAACTCAAACCCAGAGCCTGATCAATTAAAGGAATTCTGCAGCACAATTCCCTTAATGGCAAAGCACTGACATAACAATCCTGGGAAGCCCTCCTCTCCCATATCCTTCATTCCCACTGCTCCATTATTGCCTTAGTCACTCATTTTTATTAAACACAATGCCATCCCAATAGCTCTCGATAGGGTTTTGCCTAAAACACCAAATCACAACGTGGCTTATCACTTGGCTGGCAAAATAAATCCTGCCCTGGAAGTTACCCATGGGACTGCTGCTTATGGCCCGCTTGTGGCTCACTTGGGCAGAGCTGCTCGTACCTGCATGCTGTGTGCGATCTCTTCACGATCAGAGAGAATCTGGGAGAGGTTTTTGGTCCCCAGAACATTCCTCAGAGTTGTCTGTGCTAAAAGACGTGTGGCTGAGTCAGCATTTGTGATGTTTGCCACCGCAAGGGTGGCGTTCTGAACTCTGTAATAAACCACTCCATCCACGTTCACTGTCACAGAGTCCTTGGTCAAGATCTGAAAAGCAGCAGGGAAAGCATAATTATTGATTAAGATAGGGTGAATTATTATGCTAATTACATACTTGTTTTACTTGACAGCTCCTACAAAACGGGGTTTGCCTGTCCCAGCAGCCTGGTGCATTTCAGCTGTAAGGGTGCCAGCCTGATGTCAACATCGCATTAGAAGTATCTGTTGTTATTTTGCAGTTCATTGTCCTTAGAGGTACTTCTGACTGAAATGCCACCTTGCTACTACATGAGTATGTGGTGATTTCTAGACAAGCTGCAGAGGAAATCATTTGTGAACACCCTCAGAGCTTGGCTCAAGTGATATACTGAATTTAACACTTGTATGTCAAGCAAAGGAGGTACTTGCAAAGATAAAGAGAGGTATTGTTGAAGGTTTAGAAGAGGACACACCAGAATGAAACATTAATATTAATTCTATTTTAAAGCTAAGTTAAAGAGACTGAAGTATGCCACATGACCATGAGAAGTGTCCTAATTCCATGTCAGACAATTACTATTATGTTATTTGACAAGAGAAAGACATGAGAGTTACTTAACCTTACCTACTCAGTCCTTCCCCGAACTACCTATTTTAGGAGGCTCTTCATAACAGTCCAAGATAAAGAATAAGCAGCATGCACAGAAACCATGTTGTACAAATAAAAGTGTATTTCTGCTCTTACCTACGGAACACAGACAAACCTAAATCCATGGGCATGATTCAATCAAGTCAGAAGGTAAATGTCCAACTGCTGGCTTCACTAATGGCACATCAGCAGCTGCAGGATTAGGTTTCTACCAATTACCCTCTAGAGTGTACCCTGACAGATGCCATTTGTCTAAATCTACAACTAACAACGAGGAACAAACCGACTGGCGAATATGACAGGAAACAGATGCAGCAGACGGGCTGTGTCAGGCATCCGTGTCCTGCAAGACAGACCAGCTCCATGAGGGCTGCAGTTATAGTCATCAACACTCAGTTGTTCACTAACTGCTTTTAGAGGGCTAGCTGGGTTTTATTCTTTTGTTATCTATTGTGCTGGCATTGCTGAGTTCAGTTAAAGCTGTGGAGACACGCTGCTAGGAAATTAAGATGTCCAAGGAAAAGCAGTCCTGCACAGCAGGACACAGAAACAACATGTACACAAAACCCATGGAAGGGAGCAGACCATTACCCCGAGTTGCCATTAACAGCATTTGATGCATATAATAACTTCATCCCATTATTTTAGCTGGTTTATCCATCTAGACCAATTGGCACAGGAAAGATCAGCGCTGTGCCTGGAAATCTTCCAGATTTCCCAGAAACAGTTATAGAATGGTGCAGGCAGTCTTTATTCCAACCCCACCCTGTTCTAGCTCTTAGACTCTCTAGCAGTTATCTTACTTGATCCTCAGAGGACAGCATAATTGGTTTTCTTTCAGCAGTCTTCTCTTACTGAATATTACTCAAGGATCTATGCAGTCTTCACAATGCACTGAACCTGCCCAAGAGTCTACATTAAAGCTACACACACCCTAATACCAAGAGGGGAAAAGCAAAACAAAGTGTAGACACTTTAGCAGGTACAAAGGCAAGTGCAGACTCACCTCTTGGGGAGGAATATCGAAAGAGATGGTCCTCATATCAACTTTGATGAAGCTGTCTGTGCAGGGCAGGACAAAAAACAAGCCTGTACAAAAACACCCAGTCAAGAGGTGAAAATGGGTTGTTAAACCAGGTGAAGTTTGCTACTGAAATAAGCTTCAACCCAACCATGGTAGCTGCACAGCCCTCACACACTGAGCTCGGCAGCATCTTGGTTTGTGGCTTTCAAACCAGGATGCTTTTTGATAAAGTATGCTGAGAAACTTCAGTTTATTCAGGTCTGTCTTAGAGACCTTTAACATTTGGGGAAGCCCCAGAACTGTTCACAGCCACTTTTGAAGATCTGTCCTATGTAGCTATTTGCAGGGTCCAATTCCGGCAAGGAGAAGCTATCGAACCATCAATCTCCTTTTGTTCTGGGGCATCACTGTCACTCTTCAGCTTTACATCAGAATTTCTAACACGCACAGGAAACATTTCAAAAGTAGCATGTAATTGTATTGTTTCTATTTCTTTTGAAGAATGTGGAGGCTTTCAGACCATTTGGGTTTAACTGACACACTGAACTTCTCATTTAAATTGACACATTTGATGCTGTTATCCCTCCTTTTACATTCTGCGCTTTGACTCTACCTGAAGATGATGGATTAACTGCAGAGAGCTGGCTAAGGCTCATGTTTACCATCTTCTCCTTATAAAGCAACACATCCTCTCCCTGGAAGTTACAAAACCCTGAAGAAACCCATTGGCCGGTCCAATGCAATGCCTCCCCACAGCTACAGCTGGTGACTTAATGAGAACAGAGACTAAGAATGCTCCCAGGACATACCTGGTCCCTTTGCTCCCCCTTTAAGGATGCGTCCAAGTCTGAATATGATGGCTCGCTCGTACTCCTTTATAATCTGTAATGAACAGTGGGATGTCATGCAAGGGTTTCCAGAAGCCATATGATGGATTCCAAACTCTGCATACACTAGTTTCAGATGGCCGTGAGTTTCAGTGTAACAGACATTTCTATACCAGCTGCTTTTGACAATTTTAGCCTGAACTTTATTGTCAAAAAGCAAAGAGCAATAGGAGCAATCAGGACAATGTTTTAAGAGAAATATCAGTCCTTCAAGAGTAATTCTGTGTCTGTTTGAAGATTAATGCACTGAAACGTTGGGGTCTGTCATACACTGTCTGCTGTAATAGATTAATTTGTGTTTAAAACAAGTAAACAAAATTGAGACCAATGATAACCACTAGGAAGCATCTGCACTGCTAGAGTTTTAACCCAGCACAGAAGTGAACAATTTTACCTTTATGCACATCCAGATGGATATAGGAAATGTGATAACAGTGAAGAAGAGGGAAGTGATCACCAGGATCCATCCACACAGGCCAAGGCCACTATCAGAGTCATCTGCAAGAGAACAGCAGCAATCTTCAGACTTAAACCCAAGACTGCCTGTTAAAGAAAGTGCCTGCAATTGGGTATTTATTTGGACTAAGGCACTGTTGTAGCACTGCTGCTTTGGCAAAACACATCAGGTTTAGCTCAGAAGCCAAATTAAAACCCAAATTCTTTGACTTTCACTGGTCTCTGTCAGTTGTGTGAGAGAGCTGAGGGCAGAGTGTGGTCCATGTAACATTTACACATAATTCCGTACACTAACATTTAAGTAGAGACTCCCACATGCTTCCCTTTTCCCCAGTTCTCTCTAGCAGAATGCCCAAGGGCAGCAGTAGAAACCCTGATCTTTTATTGCCTAAGGAAGTCAGAGCAACACCTGTGTAATGAGTGAAACACAAACACCCCAGAGCCCATCAGCCCCAGGGACAGGACATTCAGTGTTCGGTTTGTGTTCCAGCTGTCACGGGCACAGATCTCAGTAAACCACAGTTCTCAGCACTGCTGTGTCTAGGAAGTAGAATAAGAGGTGGTGCAAGATTACTTGGACATGAAGTAAGGTCTCTGTAAAGCATTTCTTGGCCAAAGACTCCTTATGCTTGGAAAACCCCACAGTTCCCTGCCATGCAGAGGCACCAAGTGGAAGTATGTCCAGAGCCAGCACACAAGAGCCAGAGGTTTCAAATACTACACAGCTAAAAAAAGCAACGCAGCGTGACAAGGTGCAGACTTGCTGGGAAGGAAGCGCTCCTGAAGCCATCGGAAGTTCCATGTCCTGCCAGCTAAGCCTCTCCCAGGCTGCCAGGAGCCCACTGCCAAGTGGGGATATCCCAGAGTGGCACCGAGCAACCATCCTACCACGGAGATACTGAAATTCACCTCTCCGCTCCAGCCTTTGAGAAGCCAAAAGCAGGAAGGGCCAAGAAGCAGCTTCAAGGCTCAGAAGAGCACAACTCTCACATTTAGATGACAGAATGTGGCTTCAAGTCCACACTCCCTGACTTTGCTGAACCCTTACAGTGCTGCAAACATGCAGACCTTATCCTGGCTTGATCAGTGCTCACAGGACTTAAGGGACAGGAGTCCTGTGATCTGAAGGACTGCATTCAGCTGGTTGCTGGGTAAAAACTGCATTAAAGAATCCAGAAGCTTTAGTTTAGTTCTACCTGAGATTATCTAATGAATCGTTTTTCTGTACTCACCAAACACACCTACTGTTCAGTTTGTACAACAAAACTGGCCAGTTACAAGAAACAAGTCCCAGAGTCTCCTTTCCAACCTATTATTTTAAATAGAACCCATTTTATTGTAAAGCAAAATGTTGATTTTTAAAAATATCCATTGATTTTAACACCCAGGTACATGTGTAAGCATTTTATTGTACCTGAACTAAACTCAGCGTTAGTGGCGTATACCCCGGATAAAGAGAAGTGAGACAGGTCAGGCATTAGATACCACTAATCTTGAAAGTGAGTAAGAGCAAATAATAGCAGATACTTTGCAAATTTAGATCCACAATATTTGACTAAAGTCACAGAAACCAGCAAAGTAACTGGGGACCAATAGTGAACTTGCCCTCCAGCCCTCTTTTACACTGATTGTGGGCCTTAGAGCCACTATTCCAGGACTTTAAGTATGGTGGAATATGGAGGTAGTGAAGAATGACGAGGTTTTGTTGTACACAGTATCTTGAATGCTAGGAAGCCAGCTGGCTGTCTTATCTATAATGTGTATTCCTGTCACATGCCACGATAATAACCCTCAAGGACGTGTCATATCAGCTGTCGTTTTACAGTTCCTCTGTGGAAAGTTACCTAAAGTTATTGCCCCAGGGTTTATTATTGCGTAGTGGAAATAGAGATGAGAGCAGTAATTTCCAGGCCTTCTGCAAAAGTCAAGGAAATGCACTGCCTACATAGATCAGCATTAAGCAACTGCAGGCATTAAGCAACATCTGTAAACTCATTAGTGAAGGGAACATTACCTTTCATTTAGCAACAAGGTATTAGTCAGCCTAAAGCCATAAGCAGCATTCACAACCTACACTGAGAAGGAGGAAGGGTCTCCTCTCTTCTACCCTCACAAACCTAAAGGAGCTGAGGATCCTGCTTCAGTTCCACTCTACAGCTTAACACCAAGTCCTCACCAACAACCACCTGGTCTACAGAACAGGAAAAGAAATATCCATTTGCTTCCCTGTTGAACAGGAAAGTAGAGGTCACAACTGAATGTAAAATTCCCAGATTGAGTGAGTGTACACTTCATTTAGCAACGACTTTCCCAGCACATGGTGCATTTCACAACATCAAAAGCAAGAGATGCTGCCTTGTGAAAAAATGATGAAATGCCAGAAACATGCTTGGGCATCTGTGGAATGAGCTTCCTGGTTGCAATTTTTGACCACCTCGTTCATGGGACTTGGAATAACTCCATCAATGGCCCATTCTGGCCTGAATTCTCAGCCAGGCTCCTTGATACTGGCTCCTAAAGAGCAGCCGGTAACAGCACCCAGCTGAGACTGACAGGAATGGCAGAATTACACGAGGATTAAGAAATAAACCACAAGGAGAAAGACTATGAAAACAAACGTTTAACTGAATCCTCTTCACCCCCTTTCAGGCTGCCTGGAACAGTTACCGTTACTTGAGCAAGAAATTACCACTTGGATCACCAAACAGTATTAACAATTTACAATAAACACTTAGTGCTGGAGGCTGAGGTGGAACAGGGAGCTCTCATCACCACCAGAGGAGTGGCACATAAACTTCACCAGCCATTTATTTCCTCCTGCAAAGCCTGTCTGATCCAGCACATCACTGTTACAAAGCAGGAATGTTGTAAATGGAACCTCCTGGGTACCACGGGAGGAAGGGACCTTCCCCCAACCGTGCACACACCAGATTTAGAGCAAATGCATGTGGGAGATCAGCCGGACTGAGGGGAAGGCAACACCAGGCACAGATCTCCACTTCCACACTGCTCAAACACAGGATTGTCTGCGAATGACTGAAGGGTGTTATTCAGTGTTTGTTAATCAGCAATCAGGAATAATAAGGAATACTGCTCTCGGTGAGAGCCACATCTTTTCGGATGCTTCTCAAACAATTTCACATGGGAAATGGCATTAACACATAATCTGGGTTATGAGATGTAATGATTTAGGCAATTCACTCCATAGATACTTTATTATGACAAAAAAGCCCCTGGCAGGCAGCTTTAGCCTCCAACCCAACCCAACACACAGCAGCTACAGGAGAAACCCCCTCAGCAGCACATCAAGTGAGGATACAAGAGCTGCCATGCACCACAAGGCAGGGGGCCCAAACACATCCACAGTTATTTATACACCTCGCATTACCCAGCCTTTGTGCACGTTAAGCAATCTCATGAATGTATTGCCGTCTCCAGTTGCAACTGACAAAAACGGACATGGAACCAAAGCTTTCCTGGGGCCTGGCTCCGAACACAACCGGAAAACGCTCCAGTGACACGGACTGGTGGCTGGGTTATTTCAGCGCATCATCTCCAAAGCCTCCCGACCCAGGTTACGCTCACATCTATGGACTTGAAAGCCAAAACCCAGTCGAATAGCGATCGAAATAAAGAACTGACAGCAGCTTCACTCCCCACTTGGGAAAACGCTGTTGACTTCTCGCCTCCTGCTGTCACACCTCCCGAACACCCTGCTCCGGGGCAGGGCACCGGTGGTGGAAACACCCAGTCCCCAAATCCTCTTGGTCCTCATTTACCACCTCGGGGACCGCTTCTGTTCACTCTGCTCCTAACCACTCGCTCCGCTTGCCCCTCAGTTACCTCACAGCAAAACCAAGCAGCGCACCCCGAGTGCCGCAACTGGGGCCAGCTCCGCGATGCTCTTCCTGCCCCCCCCCCCCCCCCCCCGTGCGCTGCAGAGGCCCACAGCGACGGGACGGGGCGAGCCGCGGCCGTGCTCCGCGGGACTCCCCGCACCCCAACAACCGCGGGGGGCTGAGGGAGCCGAGCGGGGCCGAGCCGCTCCTGCCGCGGGACGAACTCTGGCCACGGATCCGCGAACTTTCCTCAGCGGCTGATGACGGAAACCGAAACAGAAACCCGGGAGCGGGTGGGGAGCGGATGGAAAGCGCATGGCCGCGGCCCCGCTCCCATTACCCCCCCCCTTATCGCGGTTACCTTGCACCCGCCGGGGCTTGGGCGCGACCCCCGCCTCATGGTCCGCCATGGTCACCGTCACCTCAGCGCTGGCGCCCACAGCCCCGCTCCTAGAGACCCGCCTTGGCCCCGCCCCGCCTCGGCCCCGCCCCGCCTTGGCTCCGCCCCTCGGCGGCCGCGCTCAGCACGAGCCGCCTGCCGCGCCCTTCGCGCCTTTTTTCGACGGTCTCGCGCTGCCCCCTCAGGTGCTGAGGTGATGGCGGCGGCTCCCGCAGCCCTCAGCGGCAGGGGACGGGCAGCAGGAAGGGGAATGCCGCTGGCGAGGGCAGAAATGCCGGTCCCTCGGTGCTGTGCCTGGAGCCCGGCGGGAGGATGGAGCGGAAGGCGTGCAGCGGAACGCCTGAGGTGAGCAGGCCGCCGGACAGCCGCTGTGTGAGGGAAGCCCTGCCCCGGGTGTGGTTTAACGTGCACATGGGCCTGATGGTTTGTAATGGGCAAGCTGGGAAAGAATGAAGAAGGGTCGGCATTCAAACTGGTAAAATTGACTTTTTAACCACAAGCCAACACATGCCATATTTTTTCCTGTGGCCGTGCTGAAGTATGTGTCCCCATTGGGAAGGGAATTAATCCTGAAGAAAACCTGCTCCTTTTCAAGCGTTCACCTCCAGTGCCAGGTGTTCCTGCTGCTCTTCCTGACCTACTGGAGGACACCGATGGGGAGTTTGAGTGAGGACAGCCCCTGTGTGAGGGAAGCCCTGCCCCGGGTGTGGTTTAACGTGCACATGGGGCTGATGATTTGTAATGGGCAAGCTGGGAAAGAATGAAGAAGGGTCGGCATTCAAACTGGTAAAATTGACTTTTTAACCACTCTGTTTGAGGAGGAACAAGCCAACGCATGCCATATTTATTCCTGTGGCTGTGCTGAAGTATGTGTCCCCATTGGGAAGGGAATTAAAACAATCCTGAAGGAAACCCGCTCCTCTTCATGCGTTCACCTCCAGTGTCAGGTGTTCCTGCTGCTCTTCCTGACCTACTAGAGGACACCGATGGGGAGTTTGGTGCTTTCACCCCTTTCCAAGATGCCAAAGCTGGGATCTCTGCTGCTCTTCTACCGGGCTCATCCCACAGAAACCAGGTGTGTGTGTAGTAAAACATCGTTACGCATAGAGCTGTTACATACCAAGTGTCATAAAGGCGGTCCCATTTGAAGAACTCTCCCATTCCAGGGGTGAGGTCTATGTTATGCTGAATTAGGAGGGCTGCAGGTGATTCATGGCAATTCTTTAACTGTTATTTGTGATTAATGGACAGGAAAGGGATGTGCAAACTGCTGTTTATCCTGTTGTTGCACTGATGGTGTGAAATGGCTTCTCTGTGAAACACCTTGCAACTTAGGAAGGAGACGTGGTCTTACACATACAGGACTATGCAGGGATTTATCTGCAGTGTTGGTGTTATTGTGTGGCTAGACTCTTCCTTGGAGGTAGCCTCCATTTTGTGTTCCATTCTGTACCAGAGGAGGAAAGCTTTTGGTTAACAGGTCAGGTTGATTGAGGAGGATGTGCATGAGTGGAGTGCTGCATTCTGAAATACGGTTCTGTTTCCTGGAGTTTCCAGGTTGATACAAACAGCATCAGTGAATGACAATCCTTGTGCGAGTAATATACCAAATGAATAGTCTTTCTGTCGCTGTCATGGACCCTTTTTACCACATTTCTGCCAATTGATTTCAGACCTGTCTGGATTAGCAGTATAGGAGACTAAAGACTAAATTTGTCTCGAGGTCCCTGAGGGTTTATGACACGTTTGTCTTTATTATGTTCTCATGGACAGTTGCTATTAATGCATTCATGAGTGCTGGCACCTTCTGTTCTGGTATTAATAATTCCTCAACATTTTGGTTTGGATTTATTATCTACAATTTTATGTGAGTTTACTGGTACTTTTACAACATTAATCTAAGCAACTTTGTAGGCTGTGTCTTCATCCATTGAGTAGGTACAGTGGATAAACCTGAGGTGTTTCTCTGAAGCTGACTGTGTCTTTCCATTTCCTCACCATACAAACCACCCATAAGAAAGGTGAAAGAAAATGCTGAGCTGTTCCAAACTGCTGTGTATATTTCACACATAGGGCTGTTCTTTGAAGTGTGTAAAAGGAAGAGAGAACCTTTGAGCCGTCTGAAAGAGAACTGGTTAAGGATCATTCTTATGTAGGCTCAAGTTGTCATCTCCATACAGCTCTCAAATACTATGAGGCAGCTTGCAATGTGATAGGATAATTGCCCATGAGTAATAATTATCATGATATTATAATTAAATGAGAATTAATGGAGTTCATTGAGCTGGTGTCTCATTGTGTGAAAACAGTTCAGGCCTCATCCAGAGAGACCTTATCCAAGGAAAACAATATCACCCAGTTCTTTGCCTTCTTACTTAGAAAATGAATTATGTGCCTCATGGGACATGGTCTTTTCATTGTTAGTATCTAAGGAAACATGCACATTATTTCTTCTATGCAAACCATTGAAAAGTCATCAGCTCAAGAATTGTGATGACTCTCAATCTGGACTTGTTGGATCCCTTTCCTCAGATTGTGGAGGTCCTTCTGCCATGTAAGAATGTGATTAAAATTTGTCATTGCAAAACATCCCCTAGCATGTAAGATGGCATGTACATTACCAGCAGAGCTGAGCCCTGCTTCCTTGTCTTCCTTTTTAAAGCAAAAGCAGTACATTTAGAATAAGCATCCAAGAAGTAGAAGAAAAAGAGTTTACCCGTTACCATAAATATAATGAAGATGTTTATGTATTCCCATCCTTTAATGGAAGAGGTCAAAGGATGGAGAAGATTATGTGTGAAAGCAGCATCACATTTATCCATCCATGAGAGCACCCTACAGGGACAGGAACAGGTGAAGTAATGGGATAACTAATCATGTTCAAGTGGGGAGTGCCATGATGCAGATGGGTGGCTGGTCAGAGCACACGCTGCTCAATTTTGATCAGAAATGGAATGTAACATAGTGGAATACGTGGTATTGAAACTCATAATATTATAAGGAAGTTGAGAGTGCAGCTTTATCTTTATTCTTTTTTTGCTGGCAAATAGGCTAGTTATTGTGTCTTCATGTTGGGAAGGAAGGAAGGATGTGCCTGAAATGGGGGACTGTGTTCTGTGGAAACAGGGTAGATAAGCTATGGTGAACCCTTGTAACCCATAGCAAATTTGGCACTAGAAAAACCTAAGCCAGTGCAAATAATAAGTGGTTTTAAAATTACTATGAACTGAGCATTAGAAAATGTTCCACACTGGTTTACCTTAGTTCAGCTGCCATTAAGGTAAAATGTTCAATTAAGGCCTTAAGCCAGAAACCTTACTTCATCTAAAGCTGCAGTATCTCAGCAACATCTTGTGTACTTGTATACAAGTTTATGTTGGCATTTTGCTCAAAGAAGAGAATGTTTTCTGTCTGATTTTAGATGGGGCCCTCATTCCATTTATTTTGCTGTCTTTGGGTGCTTGCCAGCCAGGTTGGAAGAGCCCCAGGGCGGTGGTGGGCAGCAGTGCTGCTCTTCTGTGGGTTATTGCTGCCATCTACTGTGTTCTACCCTGTGTTTGAACGGGCCATTTCTGGGAAGATAACCAGAGTAGTGAAGTCCCCTCTCCTTTCCTTTCAGCTTTGCTGAGTGATCTTACGTTGTTTAATACAATTTCAGTTTTTCCTTAAATATTGAAGAAAAGCACCAGGTTTACTAACAAGGAGCTGTAGTAACTGAGGAGCTCTTTCCCATGTACCATTGAGATGCCTCAAGGGATCTGAGTTAAAGAGTTAAACCCAATGCTCTCTGCAGACTGAAGACTTGTGAAGTACTAGAAGGCTAAGTGTGAACAAAGAAAAATGAAAAATGTAACCTTTCCTAATAGTATCTGAATGACTTCTCAATCTGATTTTTGGTTCAGTAAGTAAAGGACTTAAAGAATTAGTTTTTTTCTGGCTAGAAGACAACACTGGTTTTGAAAATTGATTTATTAATTTCTAAGCCTTATGAACAGAAACATTTCATTGCCTTTATCACTTATGTTGGTTTGCTTTCAAATATGGAAGTTCCTCTCAGGAGTAACTCCTTAGTATTACTCTGTCGTAAAGCCTGTGTTTGTTTAATCTTTCCTTGAATTCTCATGTGCTTGGTAGGCAGCTAATCAGAGCATTTGTGAGGGGATCAGCCTTGGAAATGCCGGTTCAGTTCCTTCTGCGGGCAGTAGCTGCAGCTTTCTGCATCTCTCAAAAGGGAAGTCTACTCTCAGTGTATTTATTTGCTATATGTTGCTTATCAATATGTGGTTTGCTTAAGTGGAAAAAGCTGGGAGCAGTGCGCAGAGCTACCATGAGATGTCAGTGTGATATTAGCCACAACTGATACCAATGACAGTCTTGTTTGAAGTGCGTATTAAGTATGTTGGGTTTTGATACCTTAGTCTTAGTTTTAAAACACTTTCTGAGAGTAAAGGAAGTTGTAGTCCATAATAATTTTGAAATAGTATCAAAGACTATTCCTGAAACTCTTTGACTGTTACCGTAAAAAGTTGCTGGATGTGGAATGTTGAGCTTCTGAATCCTGTTTAGAGCTGCTCATGCTCTACTAATGTGAAACTTGAGTTACACACGTGCTCTTCTGAGACAGTGAAGTGTCCCATGCTGTCAGCTTCCCATAGGGATTATATGTGACAATTTGGTAACACGGTGTTCTACTGTGCTTTATTTTATTGTGCTTTTCCCAGCTTCAATATGTTTTAAGGGACTCCTACTTTTTTTTTTTCCATTGCTGTTTATCATCCAGAGATTTTAAGAGTGAACGTAACTTGAAGTATGATAGGACATCTACTACCACCTACTACTACATTCTTGCCATACATGTGTTAGTCTCTGGAGAAGTGTTTTACTTCACATTGTACATTTGCAGTAGCTCTGTCTACATATATTTTAGTTTTATTCTGAAGAACACTGCTTTGAATCAGCCTAAACATAATCAAAACCAGTTCAACAAACATTTCCCACGTTATGAAAGTCTGCATTTCATTTAGTTGCCTATTTTTATATCATGGGATTATTTGT